TCTGGGGGACCTTTAGGTTAATGGGGAGACTAGGAATGAGAAGTCTGGATTGCCTTGTTCACAACGCTTGGTCTCTCCGAGACTCCCTCAGGCATGCTCGTCACCTGGCGGACCCCCACCGACTCACGAGCCACTCGCTCTCAGCCGGGTACGCGGCCTACCCATCTAAGTCAGCACTTCCAGCAGGGCAGGGGCGGCAGCCCCGTTGCGTACCGTGCAACACCATAGCCGGGCGGGGGACAACAACGGGTGGAGAGAGATGCGCGAAAACAGCGCAGCAGAGCATCAGGAGCAGCGGTGGCAGCAGCAGCAGCAGCAGCAGGGCACGGCGACGGCTATACGTACACGGTTGCACCATGACACGGGGAGGCGCTGCGTGAAGGGGATGGCGATGTGAGGATTCGTGGGTTAGACTGTCATCATGAATGGGACAGAAACGCAGCCATATTGTATGTGGCTGAATTCATCGACCATCGTTCCCGCAAATTTGGAGGGCACAGCTAAACTGTAAGGGGGCACATAGCGCTATAAATTTTAGTAGGTCCCGCGCGCAACGGGAGGAAGCTGCCGCCTGCCGCCGCCGTCGTTGAAAAGTATTAGTAATTTGATGAGCTTCGATTGTCATCGGATCAGTCAGTAGCGGCGGCAGGCGGCACCGAGGGAATGCGGTCGCACGCCAGGCCAGGCGCGCCGCGCCACGACGCCGCGCCGCTTCCGGTAATAGCGCGGGGCGCGGGGACCTCGGCACGGGCGGGAGCTTAATTCCTAACTAAGTCACTGGTGAAAAGTGAAGTCTAATATCCTCAGTTTGTTAACAGGCAGTAGAGTCACACGAGGTTTTAGTGCGCCGCGTGAAAGGTATGTGGATGTGGTGCATACTGGGCAGAGTGTAAAGGCTTGCTAATACTCCCCAGTGCGCTGATCAGGTAGGGGGTCGCACCCATACTACGTGACATTTAGGGGGGGGGGGACAAATAGTATGGGGTCCTAAAAGAATCGGGAAAATCATTGGAGTCCATAGAGACCCCATAATATTTTTACCCCGGGGCATAAATAATATGGGGTCTCCATGGACTCCAATGATGTTCCTGATCCTTTTGGGACCCCATCATATTTGTACCCCCCCCCCTAAATGTCTCGTAGTATGGGTACGATCCCTAGGCAAACCCGCAACAGTGGTGTATTGCCTTTTCATGCGGTATGCGCACTGCGAACCCGGAGATTGCCTGCTATGAGATCAAACAAGTCAGCCAGTGCTCGGTCAATGTACCAGGTGGCTGATTAGCGCCGCTTACTTAGTTATGTTGTGCTGGATGCACGAGTGCGAGCGGGTTGCCTACTCGCTCGGCCCGTATGGCGCCTTGGACAGGGTGGTAGACAAGCCCGCCCGCACTCGTGCGTGCGGCACAGTATAGCTAGAGAAGCGCGCGGGGTTAGTCAGCCACCTTGTATGTCTAACTTTCGTGATATCCCACATGAATGTATGTAAACCGTGTCGGGGAGAATGGCCGAGAAAATGTTTATTTGCAAAACTTTTAGGCCCTGGATATGGCGAAATGTGAGGGCCGTCCGGTAGAGGAAAGGCTTCCCAGCGATGCTTCATATAAAAAGTGTTGAGGGGCTTCCTCTGCATTTACTCACCCTTTCCGCCGCGAATACCGTTGTCCTTTTCCCTTCGGTCCGACCAAGAAAGGTCCGACCTCTCCCAACAATAAAGAAAAATAAAAAAATATGACCGCTTTGACCGCCAAACGCTTTCTTCGTCCATTCATTTTATTTCCCAATATCACTTTCGCCCCCACCCCCGCCCCTCCCTCTCTCTTCTTCTTTTTCCCTCTTTCTCCTTTTCCCTTTCTGTAGGTAGCTAGGGCGGCGGCTTTGGGGGCACAAGGACATCCGAGAGTTGGGGTTTTAAAAACATGGAAGAAAAGGGGGAGGAGAGGGCGGTCAGAACGGTCGCGGACCGCTACAGGGTACACGGTACACACACCGGATGTGGACATGTCAGCCTGCCAGGTGAGAAGAGGACCCCCC